AGCGGCCGACCGCCCGGCCACAGCAGGCCAGCAGTCCGGCCAGACCGGTTCAGACCGGTTCCGACCGGTTCACCCTATATTTTAATGTTTTAAGTCCCGGTTCATGTTCACGTCCCATTTCCAGTTAAAATTTCCAGGTCTGGTTCAGTTCAGTAAATTCATATCAGTTCAGTTCCGTATTTAACCGGTTCCAGTTATACCGATTAAATCCAAATATCATGTCAAGTTCAGTATAACATCTTAATAGCTATTTTAATAAATCTGAGCATAGTACTTAGTATTTATTTATATATGTTACAGTTTGCAGATGATCAACACTTACATTTTCAGAACAGCAGTTCAGGTGGGGACTCAGACCGGGTATTACATTGATTATAATTACTCTACCATGTTTGAGGTATGTATTATCAGTATCCACTCGGAATGGTCGCCAGTCCATTCTGGGTTCTAGTGACCTTAGTCTGCCCACTAGGGTGTGCACATGGTGTCCGACATTTATGCTGGCAGATGTTCAGGTATCAGGCATGTGATGATTATCACGACATCAGTATCAGATTATGATTATTCAGTACCGGTTTCAGTTCAGTTCAGTTATAAATGCCAAGATCATGATATTGCAATTATTTTCACTGTTTACTTTAGTATGAGTTTCTGCGGAGCACAGTGGATATAGTGCTCACGCTCCACATTATGCATGTTTTTTTTAGGTCACAAGGTCGGAGCCGAGGAGTGAGCTGACGATCGGTTCAGGAAGTTTGTATATATGTTTAAACATGTTTTGGCTACACTATGTTTTCCGCTGACTACTTCAGTTTGTCAAACTAGCTTTTGATCCAACTCCAGTCGGTTACTATGTTTTATTACCGTTTTGTTGTTAAACTAAAATAACGGTTTTTCAGATCATGTCATGTTTTACGGTAACACTCCGAATCGGTATTTCACAAATGAAATGTTTTTATTTTGAAAAACTTTGCGAAAAACGCGCTCTGATTTTCATGAAATAGCGGGGTGTTACAGTTGGTATCAAAGCACGTTTCTGCGTCTCTGGAAAACTTTTACGAGTCAGAAATTTTATAAAAACTGAACACGTCAAGCTCACGCCTCGTCGACTACAGGTAAGTGCTGATTCATGTTTTAAATTATAAACAAATTACTATGTCTATGCTCAGAAATTTCTCAGTTATGATTTAGTTAAGATGCTCGAATCATGTTCAAGAATCATAGTTCAGTATATCCATGATTAATGTCAGTATTTCCCAGCCATGTTAAGCAACTCGTCAGGAGAATTGTAAGCACTTATCTTAACAATCATGTTCCTCAGACATTTTCTATCGAAAATTGCCCATTTTGCCAACCAGTTGGCACATTCCAAGGAGGAATTCCTTGAGTTAGATCAGGGAATAAACTCGATTTTCCTATGCCAGATCAGTAAATCAAGTTCAGGGCTAACTTTTCATGCTAGAGGTTGTTATAATTCTTAAGGCCATTGTCAAAAGTAACGGTTTCCAGTGTATAAGAGTCAATATTCTGGGTTACCATGGAGGCTTGAAATAAAAGCCATTCAGCCGG